GAGAGAGAGAGAGAGCGTGTGGCCTGCGGACTACGGAGTGCTTCCCTCTCCCTCGTTCGCCACATTTATGGTGGTGCAGCCACTCATGACTTATGGCAAGCGGCAATAACTCTCCAGTTATTTGTCTGTCAGTCGCGCGTTGAGAACGCTCGTGGCGTGTCGAGATTTGTCAAACTGTTTTTATTTCCGTCATATATTATTTCACAGAATTGTAAGAAAGGGACAGAGAGAGAGAGAGATTCTATGTAAAGCCGACGAGTTTTCTCGCTTGTGTTCGATTTCATATAATTGAATTTCAAGTTGCGCGCGTTTACACTGCCGCGTTTCTGCATTTTGCTCGCCGTGGTTGGTACAACTGTTCGGAAAATTCGGAAAGTGAACAGGTGTTTTTTGAATGGATTAGGGGGAGACTTATCAAGAGAGAGAAAGAGAGAGAGAGGAGGCGACCAGAGGACGCGAAAGGATTCGCCGCGGACAGTGGTGAACGATCGCCGGGACTTGGCGGCTGCCTTCGGATGATCGATAGCTCGGAGGATGCATGCGGGTACACGGTTATTCGAGACGCCCGATCAAAAATGAGGAGGTACGTTAACTCTCAGATCGTAGCTTGTCGTAACCTCGCGCTCAAAAGTAAATAAACAAATGCTTGACTTCCTCGCACGCCGCTTCGATCGCGCTTCTTTATGACTTATAGCACGAATCAATTCTTTCATAACCCTTCATCTATAATAACACCGGAGAGATCGATTTTTTTCTTCTAATCGAAATGTCTAATTTTTCAATGCTTTTCGCATACCTATTGTTATTTCCATCCCATTGTAATTTAAAGTTTTTCTTCCATTTTGCGTAGAAACTTGCATGCAATCTGCACGAATGAAACAATGTTATGTTAACTTGTATCTTGTATTAATGCCACTATCTGTCATATGTATTTTTACAGTGCAAGTTATAACTAATCTTATATATTTAGTAATCAAGAGTCATAGAAGATAGAAAAATATAATCAGTTGTAATTTAAGATATGATAAGATTATTAGTAGTAAAATCACAATATGTGAGAAATGTTTTATATCATACTATTATATCTTACTATTTATTGTATATATAACATCAAATTTGATTTGTTGAATATTTCTCGCTGAAGAATACATTCCACGTTTATTCTTGGTGTATTTACTTAGACATTCAATCACAGACTTGATTTACAGACTTATATTGTCAGGCCATGTTCATGATTTTTATTTTGATTACATAAATTAAATGAAGGATATTTTGACATGTGAATGACAGATTCTTTTCTCTTTCGTATACTAACATAAATGCACATAAGTATTTACATATATCCTGATGCTAATGTCTATCGGAATTTGCAATTTCACTTGGCACTTTCATACACTTTTGCTATTCTGTTATCTTCTGATGTTTCTTACAATATTATGTATTAAATGTTTTATAACATTTGTATCAATGTTACGAATTGTAGCTCTTGTGCTATTTTAAGGAATATTTAGAAGATAAGTGAACGCTAACAAGAGATTATGTAGCTATTAATTTAATAATAAACTCTGCATATTATGATATTGTGTATGAACTAATGTATCACTAATAATACTTAGTCAAAATGTCAAGTCAAATGCTAGTCAAATATAATTATTAGCTTCTGGCTAGAATTGTGTTGTCATGTAACATAAT